GATCTCATAACAGATGGTTGTGAGCCACCATGTGGTTACTGAAAATTGAACTCAGGACCTCTGGAAGAGCAGCCAGTGCTCTTAACCACTGAGCCATCTCTCCAGTCCCAAGTGTTCCATATTTTAAAGGCAATCTCAATCAATACTCCACCTTCCACTCTCATGTCAGTCAAGTTCATCAGATCCCTCCAGATAAAACCGAGGCATGACTGTGTTCTACCATCTTAGAAATACCACTGAGCTGCCAGGGTGGAGACCAGCTGTTCCAGTCCACCCAGATGTTAGCATGCAAATGAAACACTTGGGGACACTGGTCAAAATACAGAATCTGATTCTAAAGACTACATTTCTAGCAACATCCCAAGCAGGGTCAATGGTGCTGCTGGTTCACTGATCTCTGTAAGATGGCAAAGAGTTGGAACTGAGCTTCTCAAGGTTTGGTGGCAACAAAATCACTAGAACATATATCTGAGACAGAAGCCCAGGTTCACTGAAGTTCTTAATGTGCTCTGTGCCTCTGTCTTTACTGTTATCTCAGGTGATTCTGCTATATACACCAGTCTGAGAACCACTGACTTGAATGGGAAAGAAAGAAAGAAAGAAAGAAAGAAAGAAAGAAAGAAAGAAAGAAAGAAAGAAGGAAGGAAGGAAGGAAGGAAGGAAGGAAGGAATAAGGAAGGGAGGAAGGGCGAGAGGGAGGGAGGGAAGGAGGGAGGGAGGGAATGGCGAGGCAGAGGGATGGAAAAATGACATACGCAATGAAAATCAGTATAGAGGTTCCTCAAAAACAAACAATAATATAAAATAAGTGACCCAGCTTACCACTACTGGATTCATACATACCTCAGAGATATGCATAGATCCAATTGCTACACTATTCACAATGCATGGAACCAGCTTAACACCACAGAGACACTTGTACATCCATATTGATGGCTACCTAATTCACAATAGGTAGGACCATCCTAGATGTCTATTGACAGAAGAACACATAAAGAAAATGTGGTACATATATCCAATGGATGAAATCCTAACGTTCAGGGAAATGGATGAAAGTGGACATTATTGTGTTAATCAAAAAAAGCCAGATTCAGAAAGATAAGTTTTCCATATACGGAGTGTGTGTGTGTGTGTGTGTGTGTGTGACATGAAACAGATAAAGATCTATGAAGGGAGCTCTAAGGGAAGGGAGGCAGGAGGGAGATAACAAAGCAATGCGATAGATGTGACCATGTGGAGAGAGAAGGGAACCAAAGAGAGTAGGAGATGGCAAAGGTGAGTAAATAAGAACAAATTATAATGTCTGAAAATGCCACCCTGAAACACACTGCTTTGTACCCTAACTTAAAAAATTAATTTAAAAAAAAAGAAAGAAGTCCTCGAAAGTCACATCCCAGGAAATTCCACGTCACTAATGAGCAAACCTAAAACAAAGGTCACTTACATAGAGGAGGGGCACACATAACAAGCAGTAAGAATAACAGTGTCTGTAAACTCAGGACATAATGAGTTTCTCAAAGCAAGAAGAAACAGGATTCCCAAAGATCAGTTTTCACACAGAGAGAGCTCTGAGAGGATTCTAAGGGCGCTCGGACACCTGGCTGACCTGGCTGAGAGAGAGGGTTTCAAGTGAGGAGAAGAGGGGAGAAAGACCTTTTAAACTTGAGCTCTTAAGAGACCAGGGCTGGGTTCTCTGAAGAGCCGCAGGGAAAGGCAAAGGCACTCAAGGGAAAAGCTTTGGAAAGACAATCAGTACAAACCAAACACCGGCTAAGTCTTTGCCTGAGGGCATGGCTGAGCTCTTCGGAGGGGGTGAGGGTGGTGGGAGGCTCACCCCTTCTCTTAGACTCCTCAGTCACAGGCTGCTCACCCTTCCCAGGGCACTGTACTAAGGTCTGAAGTCTGATAACAGTGTGGATTTGTGGCTTCTCTCAGGTCTGTTCTCTGAATTTTACTGTTATTGATACCATTTCTCTGGGACAAAAGTTCAGTGAGAATACTCTGGAGTATGCCACCCAAAGCCCTTCTGGAAGGAGATGGCTGGGCACTTACTTCAGATCCCAAGATTTCAGCTTGACTCCTGAACAGTCATTAAAATAAGTGAAAGACAGAAACATCACATCACAAAATGTTAATACAGGGGATGTTAATGAGCTCCTAACTGAAACACAAATAAAATAAATATAATCCAAATCGAGTCACAGAGGCCAATGCCATCATCATTCCTTCTCTAAATCAAAAGACTTTATTTATTATTATTATTATTATTATTATTATTTATTTGTTTGTCTATTTGAGTCCTGGTTACTATGGAACTCACTATGTATACCAGGCTGGCCTCTACTGTGCAAGTGCTAGAATTAAGTGTGCGGCACTACAGCCACCTTAACACAAAGATTTATTTGGCTGGAAACAACAACAAAAACCAGCTAATGGCTGGGTCTCCTATACTTCCAACAGAAGGGACAGAAGCTGCAGCCCCATCACAGAGCTCAATGGTGAAGGGCAGCAGCTGGCAGACTCTTTATGACACGAGGGTGTAGGTGACCCGGGTCAGATCTAATATAGGGGTGATGCAAAGTTCTGGAATACTTTTCAGGTCTGCTGGTTCAGTTAGGAATGTGACATGTCTAAAAGGTCAGTTTGGGACTATCATAGTTAATATCCATTGTCAACTTGACTGGGTTTAGTGGGGGGCGGGGACGGAGGGTGTACCTAGGAAACATGCTTCTGGAAGTAGCTATGAGGGTATTTCCAGACAGAATGACTGGGAATGAATGGCCCACACTGAATGCAGACAGCATCCTCACATGCACTGGAGTCTAGGAGTGAATAAAAACAGGAAGGAAAAAAAAAAAAAAAAAAAAAAGGAAGTGAGCTGCACGTAAACATTCACCTCTCTGCTTCCTAACTGTGGACTCAGTGTGACTGGCTGCCCATGACCTTGCCACCACACTCTCCACACTGCCATTGACTGTACCCTCAAACTGTGAGCCAAAATCAACCCTTCTCCCCTACAGTGCCCATCTGCTGGCATTGTATCACAGTAAGGAGAGACGTAAGAGGTACTGCACACTCCCCCACCCCAGCCTTGGCATTTCCAACCGCCTCTTCCTTGATTTTTGCTGGGGAAGCTGGACCAACACTCACATTCCTCACCAGAAACAGAAACCTGTGTTTCAGGTCTCTATAACATGTCCAAAGTCAGAACTAACCACTCAGCACTTTGTCTGCCCGGTTTCAATGCTACATCTACTATTGCCACCTGCCTTCAAAAGCCCAGGAATTCCCCACAAGGCACAGGAAGCAGCAGTATCTCTTCAAACCCAAATTTCTACCAAGCAAAGGAACCGGCAATGTACTTCCCCAAAGGATCAACGTTGGGACAACTTCCTCTTTTTCCAGCCAAGTACATCAGGCATCCACTCACTATAATCATAAAACTCTAGGGGGACCCAAAGATGGTCTGTTTTTACAGGAATGTTGAGAACCCAGCCCCTTAACAGAACAAAGGTGGAGTAAGGCCAGCCTACAAAGCACATTGCAAACTCTCCTGGCTCGCTCCTTGCTGAGAGTGAAGAGAAGAGAAATGGGAAGTGGGCAATGCTCAGGCCCCTGGGCAATGGAAAATCTTATCAGCTCCCAAGTCAGACCAACTGCACCCCAGATGAACCAAAAACCCCTCCCAGCAATCTCCTGCCTCCTGATCCTCACTGGGGCAAATCAACAGAGTCTTGTAACACTTCGATAAGACTTTCCACAAGCTGTGGCATCTGTAGTTGGGGAAGCCCACCCCTACCACTCAGTCTACATCAGCACCTTCGCCCTCAGTCACTCTATACACTGAGGGCCATCTGTGTAGTTCCACTTGACTTGAAGTGGTCAGGTCTTCAAGCCTTAGAGCTTGGTCATTTTTGACATTCATTTCTGCAGCCTGTGTAAGACAGGCCTAGGAAAATTATAAGCACCTATTTCCTTGTTGAAAGAGAGTGGGGGAGGAGAATCTTGTCATTGCAACAATTTTAAGTGCATTTTCTTTCCTTTAAAAAGATTTATTTAGGTGCTGGAGAGATGGCTCAGCGGTTAAGAGCACTGACTGTTCTTCCAGAGGTCCTGAGTTCAATTCCCAGCAACCACATGGTGGCTCACAACCACTTGAATGAGATCTGGTACCTTCTGCTGGCATGCAGGCAGAAGACTGTATACATAATAAATGTAAATAATAAATAATAAAATAAATAAATAAATAAATAAATAAATGATTTATTTAGCTATGTATATGTGACTGTGGAGGCCATAGGTACTGGGTCCCCCTAAAGCTGGAATTATAGGTACTTGGGAATTGCCTGACACAGGTTCTGAGAACTGAATTCAGGTCCCCTGGGAGAACAATGTGACCACATAACAGTAGTTATACTTAGCCACCTCTCCAGCCTTTTGGAACACATTTCCAACATAGAACATATCTACAGCAATCCTATGAACACTGCTAAACTGTGGCTCATTCCTGTCTCTCAACACTAATGAGAGATGTCTACAGAATACTAAAACAATGCAGAAAAGGCAATTCTATCACTAGTTCTCAGAGCACATAAATGTTAACCTAAGATGTTACCTTGGAAAATGAGTAATGCTTGGCCTGTATCATTTATTAACTTAAATATGTGAGTATATATCTGAGGCAAACAGACTCACACATGCACACACATGAACGCATGCACATACATACACACAGCTAAAACACATATCTGTATTAAAGATTACAGCTTTCATTTTAACTACAGTGACTAATTACTTCTACCAGATCCCCTGTCTTCCCCATAAGACTCTTCTCCAGACCACATGTGTTTATTTTTAATCGCTTGGAGAGAAATATAAAATAATAAGAACATACTGGCTTAAAAGCAAGATTACACTGGAAGAAATGTGAGATTTGATTTCCCATCTGTGTTCACCAACCAGGTCAAAAGCTCAAACCCCAGCCAAATGCAAATGGTTACCTCAAGCAGTGGGTGATGGAGGTGTTCTGCTCCACATCAACAGAGAGGTCAAGAAAATCTTCATCTTTGCTACTCACCTGAAGCAAAAAAATAAAAAGGGGAGTAAGGAGTTAGGTGCAAAATACACAGCAGACATGGTAGCTAAAACTTTGAGTATTGGTGGGTAACCCAACATGTGCCAGCAGTAAAAGCCACAAAGAGTCACCAACCAATCAAAAGATCCCAACCAATCCCAGATTCCCAATTCACCTTCATGCCTTTCATGATTCTGATTCAAAACTTCCTAACTAAAACTTAACCATGTTTCTCTTCCTCTCCAGCTATGTTCCTCATTGTTCTGACCAATATCAGCGGAGCTCATGCTGACAGAGAGAGGACAATAGATAAGAAGCCTCCATCCAGACGGTGGCCTTTCACTAAATCCAATGCCTTGAAGTCACTCCCTTCCTCCAGTGCCCAGACAAGCCCTATGGGACCAAGGAGCTGGACTGTCATGCTAATTCCCATCAAGCTGCCCTTCCAAAGTGGTCACCATGTGCAGAGTACTCTGCTGTTATTCCTGAACTGGTCACATAGCCCATCGTGACGAAGACCACTTTCAGTCAAACCAGCTCACTGGCCTTGGTTGCTCCACAGGACTTCACCTGTTGGCCAAAGCTCCCCGAGTGACTGTTTATGCTCCACTCACTCAACAACCTTGAGGTTTTAGAGTTTTGCTGATGGAGGGGAAGGAATGAGCTGATGCAGCAACAAACGTGAAGTATTCCCTCAGCCATGGTACAGTGAAAATCACATTCAGGTAAAAGAGCAACAACTACTCTAACAGCAGATTCTAGGGGAACGAAAATGACCCAGAGAAGTACTCAATACACTCTGATACTATTACAGGTAAACATAAAAATGGAGGCTGCCCTTGCTGCCTAGGAAGTGGATGAGTTGGGCCATTACTTAGACTCTGTTATACCTCAAGAGCTCTAACAAGTAACTGTTCAGGCCTAGATAGTGGAACATTCTTTTTTTTATTTTATTTATTTACTATGCATACAACATTCTGCTTCCATGTATATCTGCACACCAGAAGAGGGCACCAGATCTCATAATAGATGATTGTGAGCCACCATGTGGTTGCTGGGAGTCGGAGCTCTTAACCTCTGAGCCATCTCTCCAGACCCCGATAGTGGAACATTCTTATCCCAGACTTGGGAGGCAGAGGTAGAGGGCTCTCTGTGAGTTTGAATGTACACAGCAAGTTCCAGACTGGCCAGGGTTACATAGAATCCTAATCTTAAATGAACAAACAAAACAACAACAAAAAAGCAGGATTTAGTGGTGCATGCCTTTAACCCCACCATTCAGGAGGCAGAGTTTGGGACCAGGCTGGTCTATATAGTGAGTTCCAGGACAGCCAAAGCTAATACATAGTGAGACCCTGTCTCAAAAACAAACAAACAAACAAACAAAGCATTCCGTAGGAGTGGTAAAAATGGTTAATGGCCTAAAATGTTCAGAAAGCTAGAAATGGTTTGCTACATGGTAGTTACATTAAATGAAAAAAGTAGGCTTCGCAATTCTGTTTAAAAGGTATGGGCAGCCTTTCTGCCTCCCTGTCACCTGCTTTAACAGTGTATGACACTTACTCCTTACTCCTGCTGTGGTGTGGTGGAAGCCATTCACGTTTGTGTGTGTGAGCACACATACGAGTGCACATGTATGCTCGTGTGTGTGTGTGTGTGTGTGTGTGTGTGTGTGTGTGTGTGTGTGTGTGTGAGAGAGAGAGAGAGAGAGAGAGAGAGAGGAGAGAGGAGAGAAAGGAGAGAGAGGAGAGAGGGAGATTTTGACACAGTAATTCACTACACAGCCAAGCCTGGCCTTGAACTGAATTCCTGATCCTCATGCCTTGGCCTCGTGAAGACTGGGATTCCAGAAGACCACAGACAGACAGGCATGTACCAGAGCACCCAGCTGTTTCCCCATTCTTGAATTTGGGTGCAGCCCTGTACCTTGTCTCAGCCAGGGGAGACTTTGGAAGACACATTATAAACAGAGGCTGGACAAACACTGGTGAAACTGTTTGCCCTTTTTTAATTTTAAGTCTGTGAGTATTTTGCCTACATGTACTTCTATGCATTACATGTATTTCTGGTGCCTGCACAGACTAGCAGAGGGGGGTCGGGTCTCTGGAACTAGAGTTATAGACAGTTGTAATCCACCATAAGGGTGCTGGGAATCAAACCTGGGTCCTGGTGGGGGGGCAGTGCCCATAACCAAATCATCTCCCCAGCACCATGACACTACTCTCATACACTTCTGCCATCACCATAAGAATACAATGCCCAGGATCTGAGCACTGATGGTGCACGCCTTTAGTCCCAGTACTCAGGAGGCAGAGGCAGGTTGATTTCCGTGAGTTCAAGGCCAGTCTGGGTCCAGAGTGAATTCCAGGACAGTCAGGGCTACACAGAGAAACCTTGTCTTGAGGAAGAAGAAGAAGACAACGATGATGACGAGGAGGAGGAGGAGGAGGAGGAGGAGGAGGAGGAGGAGGAGGAAGCAAGTCCAGACTGACCCCAGGAATTCAGTCTCTTACTCATCTGAAGGAAAGCCCCCAGACAACCTATATGACACAGGAATAAGCCAGCTGACCACACACAGCTTCAGGCAAGTCCAGCCTAAATCAGTTGACCCTAAGCCAACACATATCACATGAGTTTCAATAATACTTGACAGTTGCACTTAGGCCTTAGAGCTGACAGCAAACACTATAGAACCAATAACAACCACAGACATTATATGTTATCTATTTTTCTTACTAAAGCTTCGAAGGTTGGCTTTGATAGTAACTAAAATCTTAGTTTATTAATATGCCTCCAAAAAGCTATAAGTCCCTCCAGGTAATTATATACTCAGGTAACCATACATGAGAAGGAGGTATTGAAAGGTGTTGGAGAATGAATACAGATAATACATTTGTGAAGGAAGAGCTGTGCAGAATGACATTAAGAAAGAGATCATAGGTTGCTGTCTTTGCCTGGGTGTCTGTGTGGGAAAACACAGTCTTTCTGGTCTGGGGGTGGGGAAAGACTAGAATATGAGAAATTATGTTCACCAGAAAAGAACAAATCTGAGATTATTCTTCAGATTTGCCCACTCCTGACTGACCACTGAGCTCCTTGTGCATGGAGGACCCTCAATGCACCCAGCAGACCCAAATAGTCAAACTGCCACCCAACAAGCAGAATTTCTGCCTTCAGTTCAAGATGAAACAACTACAAAACTAAGGAAACCTAACATTCTTTGAAGAAGGATAACAGAAAACAGAATCTCTGCAACTTAATGCTCTCCATCTTCAACAAGACCCAAACTTAAAACACAGGAGGAGACAGGAGAATGGAAGACATTCTAAGACAAGGAAAAACTGACTGAGACCAACCCTGGGATGACCCAGTGTTAGGATTAGCAGATTAGGATTTTAAGAGAAGCCCTCTAAACTAAATCAATCCCCAGTACCATGGAAAGAAAGGAGAAAAAGACAATGAACAAAAAAAAAAAAA